AGGGTTAAAAAGGCAGATCTTTAGGTTTCTTTTAATAATTTATGATGGCCTACAAGTGCCCAAAAGGCTTGGAATCATGTCCATGAATCGCAGAAACATGTCTCTGGAAATGCTGTGTATTGCGAGTTAAAGGCCTGGGCATTTTAAGATCCAATTCAAGATACTGCTCCTTAAAAAGGTAGTTCTTTCAGAGAATAAAAATGCAAAACAAATGCGTACTAATGGTCTTGAGCTGGGTCCAGATCAAGAAAGGAGAATAAGATACTTTTTCCTTTGGAAGAGCCACCCAAAAGGAGCCACTGGGGCAGTTAGGCTATTTAAAACTCAATTAGACAATGTCATAGCAATTGGTGTAATTGAGAGAAGAGCCCCGTTGAGGTAAAGAAATTGGCCTGCATAACCTATCTTTGGTCCTATAGTAACACAGAGAAATTGGGTTTATCCATAATTAGGCCTTTCCTGGCTCCCCTTGGCTGATGGCAACTGAGATGATAATCAAGAATCCGAAATTAATGACTTTAGAATGACTGCTTATCATCTGGGTTCAAATCTACTCTGGCATATGAGGGAGCTAAATCCATATTTCCCATATCTCCTTGTTGCAAGGAGAAAAAGACAACAACAACAAAAAAAAAAAAAAAAAAAAGGAAAAAAAACCAACCCCCTTCCTCTAGGTAAATAATTCCATTACTGAGATACTGAGAAACTTTAAGCCATTCTTCCAGAATGGTGATTTAGTCCTGAAATCAGAGAAAAAAATGAGACCTATATTTAGAAAGCCAGCGTTTCTACAGACCTGCAGATACTGATCTTGCATAAATGTAGAGGCAAATGAACTGAGATATGAGAAAATACATAGTGCCTATCTGAGATCAGGAGATGGGGAGTCTGGAAACGATTAAATTTGCTCAGGGAGTCTAAATATATTGAGTTGAACATCAATATCTCAAAGCAAACAGGGGCAAGATAAAAAGACATAGAGCAAAACTTAAAACTAAATTTCATTCACAGCAATTCATTGTTACCAGACTCTTGCTGGTGAGCTCTAAACATCTAAAAAACCAGGAACAAATTCCTTGAAACTGCAGTTGCAAAGTCTCTAAACTGCCTGTTTCCAAATGAGCACTGACTTCCTCCCTAATCAATTTTACTGAAGTCAGGAATTAGATGGGGGCTTCATTCCTCCTTTATGTCTTATACAGAGATGCCACTCAGCAGTTTTTGTGGGAAAATGGCATTTAAAAGAATTAAAGTGGGACCATAAAACTGACATGCTTTTCCAGAGGAGGCAAATGTAGTGTTTGCAATTTAAAGACCTTCTGACAGCCTTTGCCATTGCAATTACTGTCTCTTAAACTCTGAACACCCAACTGCAGTCAAATTTCGGTAAAAGGATACACAAAACTGGGATGTGAACTGGGATCAAAGCCACTGCAGCAAAACTTCACTGATGGAAACGTAAACTCAGCCAGATTTCATGGCAAAGTAGCTGCCTTGGGCAAGCCACTTAAATGTTTTTTATTCCGGAATGTGGGTAGGTCGGTTGACTTCTTACTGGGACCAGGTGATGTTTGAAAGAAAAAGAAGCCTTGTGATGGTTAGTAGTTCCCTTAACGAGCCCATAGGTGCTAAAGGCACCTAATGTGAGTCAAAACAGGCTGATGCTGTCATTAAGGCTGATTATTAAGAAAATTAGGAAAAGAACATCATCCATGTTCCAAGTATTCAGCATCTAAGGAGTGATGGGGTAGGCCAGTGTGAGGCTGAGTCTTCCACAGACCATTGGCAAAGAACTGTTTAGTCCAAAAAAGAAAAAAAAAACCCAAAACCTAAGAAAAGAATGATCAACATCTGATGCTTCAAAGTAATAGTAAATACAGGCACAATTTTGTTTAATATTCAAAGTCCCCAAAGCATCTGACAAAGCACATACATGACTCTTGACCCCTGACCTCACTACTCCTTTCCAAAAAACAGAGCCAGGAATTTCTAACCAGTGGCACAGCCAATTTATATAAATTATATAGAGAGAGAAGACATATATGCAAAGGATAGCTATAGCTTGGGATCCCAGCAGTAATAAATACTCTACCCACCCAACAAACTGTCATGCTGCATTGTGTAAAGCTTTAGATAGGATATGCCTTTCACATGACTAATGCAAGAACAATGAAGACAACATATGTTATGATTTAAACTACAGTTGTCCTTCTTTCTATGGGGGGAAAACAAGTACATTTTTGCTGAACAAAACCTGAGCATGTTGCTTGTCCAAGGCTTAACCCTGCAGTCAGCTAGGTCTGGTAAAAGCCCTATTAACTATTATTTATAAATAAAAAACAGTGATAAGAGGGAAATAAGGAAAGAGAACATAAGGTCACAATGTGTATTTACATTCATAGAATCATAGAATCACAGAATGGTTTGGGTTGGAAGGGACTTCAAAGATCATCTAGTTCCAATCCCCTGCCATGGGCAGGGACACCCTCCACTAGACCATGTTGCCCTTCATATTCATAAAAATGAAGTATTTTTTCAGGGTCTGGACACATGGTTTACTATTTCAGCTGACTTGTGGTGGCTATCTGGGTATGTGCTCTTAGCCCACAGCAAATTTAAGCTAATTGAGCCTATTTGCTGCTTAGCCTAAGGCTAAACTCTGCTACTTGCCTTTGCCACTAACTGAGAGTGTGCAGATAACAATTACCATAGCTCAGCGGCAATGTGGTAACTCCACAACCTGAATCAACATCATCATCAGTGGCACAGAGAAGGTAAACTGTAATCACTTCTGCAAGAAGGAAAAGGCAACAAAACTGCCTAGATAATAGGATTTGCTTCTCAGGCAGCAGAGAGCAGACCCATGGGACTCATGGGATGCTGTGGGTGCTAAATGTCTCCTGGAGAGTCTGGATAAGCACTTGAATGAGAAAATTCACTGGAGGTTACTTAGTGGACAAAAATGATACCAGTTCAGGAAATACCCTGAGCTACGCATAGTAAGATGCAGAGGATTGGGTAAGGATTACACACGCTTGCTCAGTTCCTCCTCTTCCTCAGGCACCCAGTGATGCTGCTGTTGGAAACAGCTGCTGGGTTTGAGAGACCCTCAGCCTGACCCAGCTGTCATCTTCCAACGTCCCAGCCTGTTTGCATGCCTGAGCCCTAAGGATCAGCTCTGATCTGGTGGGTGTATTTCATTCCACTAGCACGACCAATCACCGGGGAGCCACAATGCCTCTTGAGAAAAATGTTCTCTTTGTAGACATTTTAGCTGGTAATATATTTGAAAATGAATCTGTAAGTCCCTGTTGATTTATTGCTGCTCACAGAAGGACATCTAAACCGCCCTTGCAACTGCAGAGATGCCTGTTTGCTGAGATAAAACTCCAATGGGTATTTTGATAGCCCTTTCCATTTCATCATCTAAACTGCAGATTCAAGGAATAAGTGTTTCAACAACTTCTCCTAAGTAACAAGTGATAGGACAATAGGAAACAGCCTCAAGTTGCACCAGGGGAGGTTTAGATTGAATATTAGGAAAAATTTCTTCACCGAAAGGGTTGTCAGTCACAGGAACAGGCTGCCCAGAGAGGTGGTGGAGTGACCATCCCTGGAGGTATTTAAAAGACACATTGACGTGGTGCTTAGGGACATAGATTAGTGGTGGGCTTGGCAGTGCTGGGTTAACAGTTGGACTTGATGTTCTTAAAGGTCTTTTCCAAACTAAATGATTCTGTGATTCTATGATTCTAAAATCAGGTAAAATCATCTCCCTCACTACATTCAGTGCTGGCTATATAACATGATGTTACAGGGCTAAAATTTCTAAATTGTCCTGTGTTATGGGAGTGGTAAATATGAGCTAAAAGCTTTGCAGTGGCTGGGAATAAACAATCATGAAGCCAGGTTAGGTGGTTGGTCATTTCCCATATTTCACAACAGATAGAAGATAAAATAAGCTGGCTGTCTTTTTTTTTTTTTTCCTTTGGGTTGTTTGGGTTTTTTTTTTTTAAATAACAATAAGGAGGCAAACTTCTAGTGGGAGAGTCTGATCCAGCAGTAGCATCTTTTATTAATATTGCATGAGATGCAGCCTTCCCTATCTGCCACAACTTGGAGGAGTCAAGAAGATGATGGCCAAGACGAGCCCATAGTGACACGTAACCCCAGCCCAAATCAGCTGCCTCAGTACAACTGGGTAACAACCAGGTGAACAGGTAAGTCCTGCTGCCATTCCTCCCAGCCCTTCAATAAATCCTACTGCCCAAACCGCCTTGTTAGTGCTGACCCAGGGGGGCCTATGGGAGCCATCAAGCTTCACCTTCAGGCTGCAGCGAGCCCTGCCATTAGCGAGCGAGTCATTGTTAATGCAAGATCATCTCTTTTAGGTGAAGATGGGATGGGATTGAGGTGTCATCACAGCAGGGTGAGTGATGCATTTGTTACAAGATGCTGCTTGATACCTGACTAACGCAAATGATTATGACAGTGGTACCGAGTGCTGCTCTGCTGTTTGTGAAACCAGCTAGGGTGTCCAGCAGCAGGGAAATGTCAGAATCTCTCTCAGCAGGGCACTGCACACTCACCGTATGATGCAGTGATTTTAATAAAGACAGACACAGATCTTTACTTCTATCTTCTAAAGCTCACTGTGTTATGCCAGGCTGCATTACGCCATGTGTCGGTGTCAGGCTGATAGCATTAAATTGCTACAAAAGTGCCATACTGGCCTATGAAGACGGCATTGCATTAATAGAGACGCTGTGGGATAACAGGCTGCATGGCTTTGCTTTGGAGGAGTTATCATTGCCTGTGCTGCAGTGGTGGCTGTAAGCTCTGACTGAAGCTACGGACCCATTAGAGCAGATACTACACCAGCATGCAGGGAGATGTTGTCCTGTGTGAAGGAGATATGTCTGGACAGGCAAGGAGGCTTCCTTTCCTCGAGTAAAAACTTTGTCCCAACCTCTCCCACCCCCACAAGTCACTGCCCTGACCTTTGTTGTCATGCCAGATCCGCACTTTGCAGAGATCTCCCAAGCTCAGCATGTCCGAGAAGTTGAATTCGTCCATCTGGTTCCTCTCAAACTTGTTAGACTTGTTGGACTCCTTCAGAGCCAAGGTCCCACTGTCTCCATTCTCCCCAAACAGGATCAAAGACACGTTGGCATCGGTGCCTGCTCCTGGAAGGAGAGAGCAAGGTACATCGTCACAAGGTAGCCTGACGTGTAGGGCTGACACCCAGCCTCCAATCGCATGGAAATGGAGACAGCAAAGGCAGGATGGAGGAGGCTGCAGTGGTGATCAGGTTTCTTTGGGCACAGCCAAGAAATTTCGGTAAATTTGTGCAGGATTCTGTGAAGAGTACATGACAGGTAGCTAACAAGCCAGTCCTTCCAGCCTGTCCTCCAAATTCAGCTGGAACACTTCATCCCTGCGTGTAAGGTATGGTGACCATGATGACAGCAGTACGAATAGGAAGCAGGAGCATCTGCTCCTGACAGAGCACTGTGCATCAATCACCTCGCTTTGGATGTCAGTGTCATGACTCCCATTTTTCCAAAGTGGCTTGGGATGCAAAGTGACTTATCCAGCGACATCCATCAATCTGTGGAATAGTGTTAAAGAACATACTTTAACTTTTGTAGTTACAATATTAGTACACATTGTCCTGGGCTTCCCACTGGACAACAGTCCCTTTTCCATGCTGTGGTGTCCTGCAGTCTCACAACCTCCTCCACGCTCTCCTGTGGCACCCGGGACACTTCAGCCATGGTCTGTCTCGTACTGCTCCCCCTGTGTTGTATGGCACAGGGATTTGAAAGCAAAATGCAGATCATCAACCAAACCACTACAACATCTTGTGGCTCGCTTTCCCCTCTCACAGGTCTTTCTTCTATATTCCTGTTTCTCAATGCTGCATTTAATGGAAAAAGTCCCAGTTTGCCCCACCAACTCCCACCTCTTCTTATGTATATGTTAGGAAAAGAACAATTTTTAAGATGATCTTTATTACCTGATGCTGAATTTCATATGCCCATCACTGCCCATATTTTGCTGCAGGAATTTTCCTGACTTTTGGAGAGTTCAAGGCCAAACCATCACTTGCAGTCACCTTACAAATATTTTAGCTGTGTTACAACATTTTTACCTGGCACTATTTATAATTTGACCAAAATTATTGTTTTTTATTTTTGATGCCACAATAAAAACACAGATTCATAGAAAGAAATCTGATTCCACCTGGGCAGACATTCATTGCTGTGTCAGAACTGAAGCCCTTAAATCTCGAAAAATGAAAAAAGACATCATCAAATCCAAATCTGTCTTACAAAGAAACTCAGCATCTGCTGCCCTCGGATAGATAGCCCAGCTTTGAAAACTCTAACCGCCTGCCAAGCCATTTCTTGCACAAGAGGATCGTAAATCCACTTTGGACCACATGGACAGTATTTCCCACAGCTCCATTCACAACACAATGCAGAGGCAAAGTCGAGGGGACTGAAAACTTTTTGAGAAAGCTACCGCTTCTTTGGGATAATACAGAAATTAGGAAGAAAACACAACTCTTCTTATAGAAGGATTGAAAAACATACTAAAAGAAGGGAAAAGAAAGAGGAGAAAAAGAGTCATACAGAGAAAAGGCAAAGCAGCATTTGGTGTCCATGTGAAAAATTGCCTATGTTAAATTTGGGCTAATTTTCAGCAGTTTGCTGGGAAGGACTTAAGAAGGAAGAGAAAGCATCAGGGATTCAGGCAGTTCACCTGGCATTACCTTTTATGACCCTAAAGCTTGCTGAGGTGAGGAACAAAGCAAAGTGAAGTCCATTTCCTTACAAGGAGCAGGATCCCAATTAATGCAAGGTCTCAAAAAGTACAGAACCAACTGTTTCTTAGCAAAACCTTCCCGGCAGGAAGAAGCTTATGAAGGCCTCATGCCGTGACATTTCCCTCACAAGCAATTAGCAGGAGATGAGAAAGAAAAGAACAGAAATTGCTGAATCAATGTACATTTCACCTATTTGGGTCTCTCTCTGTTTCAGGTTTTTTTGTTGTTGTTGTTAATTCCAGGAAACTGTCAGGCACATTTAGGAACTGTAACAAAATTGACAAATGAGATGAAGGTCCTGTGGTTGCACAAGCCTTAACTGGCAACGAGTGCAATAGCTCACGGGTCGATGCCGGGGTCTGCAGCACTGAACTTCGTCATCAGCAACCTAAACAATGACAGAGTCCATCCTCAGCAGATTTCCGTATAACATTAAATTTGGGGGAGTGACTGACATGCTGAATGGCGGAATTCCAACCCAGATGAACACTGAGAAACTTGAGGACTGGGTAAGCAGAAATCTCATGAAGTTCAGTAAGGAGAAATGCAAAGTTCTGCATCTGGGGTGGAGTAAACCCTGCACAAGTACGTGCTGGGGAGTTGAAGAAGATCCAGAGGTTATGGCGGAAATATTCATGTTCAGGTTGAATCTGTGCTAACAGCAACAAGTTCTCAGTGTTCAGTGCAAACCACATATTTCGCTCCATCAGGAGGAGCGTGGCCAGCAGCTGAAGGGAAGATCTTATCTCCTTTGCCCAGCACTGAAGAGCCCACACTGAGATCATGGTGTCAGTTTGGGTCCCCAGGTCAAAGGGGATGTGGAGACACCAAGGAGGACTCAGCAGATGGTTGCCAAGATGGACAGGAGCTAGGGCACATGGCAATGAGAGGCCAAGGGAGATGAGCTCAAGCAGGTGAACAAGGGCCTGTGTTACTACATGGAGGGAAAGTGATAACCATGACAGGGTCATGTGCTGTGGACCACACCCCAAGAAGCCACAACCAAAAACTGCTGGGGATGTTCAGGTTGGGCATCAGGAAAAAAAAAGTAATTAGAAAAATGGTGCAGGCCTGGATCAGGTGCCCAGGGAGGTGGTGGCATCACCATTCCTAAAGGTGTCCAAGACTTGGCTGGGTAGAGCCTCAGCTGACCTGCCCTAGGGCTGGCAATAGTCCTTTGAGCAGGAAGCTGGATGAAATAACCTCCAGACTCCCCTTCCAACCAAAGGGTCTATGATTTCATTATTCTTATTGACCAGCTGCAAAATTTTTAAACAAACCGTGGGCCTGAGTCACAGCCTTCTGAGGCCAAAGAATGACCTTCTTTTGACTTAACAGAGACTTGGATAAGGCACTAGGAACTGACACCAACTGTCCTAAATTACATAATTTGTAGGCTGTAGCTGAGCTGACAACATACTAATTAATTTTATAACAGCAGAGATAAAAACCTCCTGCTTTGTTAATGCTTGGAAAATGAGAAAGCAGTATTTATTCTTTCTCCATTTTTACTGCATTACCATGTATATGATGCCTGCATATAGAATACAGAAAATCTGTGTAAATCAAAATTAATAGGCAAGGACATTTTTGTGCCACAGAAAGAACCATCAGGTGGCCTGGCTCTATTGCAGCTGTGTCTGTGGGTCATACCTGGAAGAACATGAGATCGTGAGATACTTCTTTTATAAGATCAAAAGTAAATCAAGATCTTGGTTTTAATCAAAGATTACCCATCTGACTTGGGATGTCTCTGCCATAACAACCTCTTCTCCCCTTATCTGTGCTTACTCTGAGAGCTGCCATCTGAGGTGCCTCTGGTGGCCTCTGAATTTGACCTTCAAAAGAGAGGAGATTTGACCTTTGCAGGAGAGGAGTCTTTCCCTGATGCAGCCTTGGTATGTTACATGATCCTTCAAGTTGAATGACTTCTGGAAAGCCAAACTATAACTCAAAGGTTTCTTTGAGGAAAAAGTAAACCAGACTGTTGTCAAATGTGTGTGTATGGTGGGGAGCAAATAACAACTGCTTTGTAGTTTGCTGCAGGACTTTTTTTTTGTAGGATTCATTTTCCCTAACTTTATCCATCTAGCCTAACTTAATTGTGCTGGCTTTGCCTGAATCTGATGAAGAGAGTGACAGAGAGCCTCCAGAGGATGATCCAGACCACTGATTAAACTCTCCTCCCAGATGAATTGACCACAGACAGTCTAGACTAGAAGGAACTAGGAGGAGAAGTATAATTTTTTGGAGAGTGACAAATAAATGAGATTAATTTTCATTTTTTTCTTTTTTTCATTTTCTTTCTTTTTTTTTTCTCAGTGCCTCTGATGCACTGGAAAGTTGAAAGCTATTGCAGAGAAAAACTTTAAACCTAGAAATAAACACGTCTCATTCTAGTCATTGTGGAGCATTGCTCCCTAGACAATGTCGTTGTGGCAGGAGATGATATAACATGTTTAAACTAACTGTCAAGGATAAAATGTCTTTCTTCCTGAATTGGTCCAAGCAGGAGTAATTGTGGAATACATAATGATCAAAGAGGGGAGATGGTTCATGACTTGTACCCTCTTTAGATAAGCTGGATAAAGTTCAGCATTATGTCAGTGTGCTGTGTGATCTAATCATAAACAGACTCTCTGAAACCTCTCTGCAATCTGCTCTTTCCTACTGGTTGTTGCTGTTCATAATGAAATAAAATGTTTCATCGTTAATACCTGTCATCCTTCACTCAATGGGAAGGGCAGATCTGTCTGCTGTTGCTGTCATCCTCTATTCTCCTCTCATTTCTATTTCCATTGCCTTTGTGAGTTAGGGCTGGATTTCACAAAAAGGTCACAGGAAGATCTACCATTATAATAGATGGATTGCCAGATACATAAACAAATCTTCCCCTCGCTCTTTTGTTTTTTGTATTTCACTACATGTTTTTCAGACAAGCAGCAGGCAAGGCAGACAGATAAAAAATGGTGAGATAGCACAAAGACTCTCTGCCAGGGGAATTTTGATATTCGCAGATCAAACCTCACGAGCTGCATACATTACCACTAGTAAATCCAGAAGGAAAAAAATTAAAAAAAAAAAGCAAGAGAGGTGGAGATCAGGAGGTGATTATGTGCACTGGTGTGGCAGAATCTCCTCTGAGGGTCAACCTTTCAAACTAGGTGTCTGCAAGATAATGTCTAGCTTGCCCCATTTTGGCACGAGGCAGCTTCTGTGTGGTTGCAGCTTTCATTCAGCAGCCTGACAGAAGTTCTCACGAAAAGAGGCAGTGATCCCAGGAAATGACATAGAAATCCCACTTCTTGGCTCTGGAAGCTCTGCAGCTTGCTTTATACTCTGTTCCACCTCTTCTATCTGGTGTGCATTTAGGGATGGTTTTTCACGGCCTGATATAAATGGTCTCAAAACACTTTGAAAAGGAGGGTGAGTTATTGCTGTCTTCTTTGGGCAAAGCAGACAGTGATGACCAAAAACCTGGAGCCCACCAGCTTTGACTGTAGCCTTTTTTTTCCATCCTACTTGGATAGACCTGACCCGGTCAAAAAGAAAAAGGGGGCTCCTGACCATTGCAACACGGTCCAGCAATAGCTTCTGTTAAGGTGTCATCAGAGGGAGCAATGAGTAGTCAAATCTAGTCCTTGTATCTAAATATTTTATGCCCAGAACTCAGACGAGGATGAATCCCCCAGAATAACATTGTCATGATGAACAGCCAGCCAGAATGGCACTGTTCCAGCACAGTAGGGCTAAATTATGCTTTTTTTAACATAATTTCAAATTAAGCAGGAGATGTTTTCCATTGCTAAAAATCATACTTCATACTAGAAAAGTCATAAAATATCCACCATGAACATACCTCCAACATCACTGGTTTTAACCTGAAGGGTGTATGTCGTGTCCTCCATCATCTGCTCATCATTTATGACAGCTGGCATCTCACACACAAGACTTCCCTTGGCATTTTTCAGCTTTGACAGCCATTCCCCATAGGTAAATATGGCCACTTCTTGATTAGTCAGGTTCTTCAGGATGATCTGTGAAGAGCCAAAATAAGGGAAAAAACCCTTGAGGGCAAAGATTAAACTTATAAAGTGCACACTGTGGTAGGACATGGGTAAAGCTTGTTCATAACTTCAAAACCCATACTGAGCTCTTCTGGTATGAATGGAGCTCTCTCCTATGGACAATATTTTCTGTGGTGACTCGTCCTGAGAAATGGTTTTCAAAATATTGGACTTTTTCACATATGGGGTAAAGCATAGGAAGAAATTTGCCTCTCTGATGTAAATTATGGACAAAGCTCATCTCTAAGATTAGAGTCAGACCTTTCCTGGAAGCCAGTATGGAATTCACCCCAAAGAAGAAGTAACACAGCGTAATTAAAAACCTTGTTACCTCTCCTTGAAGTACACAGTATCTTTCTTTTCCTCTGTGCAAACACACAGCAACCGTTGCAAGCGATATGCAAACCAACCCCAAACAAGTTAAAGCAATGCACAAAATAAAATTAGGCCAGTAAAACTTAATGTTTCACACACTTCTCCCTCTGAGAAAAGGTGACAGAACAAACAGTATGCAACAGATATTAGTCACACTGTCTAATGTGTCATGGGAAGGAGCTCAGATGCTGTGGTGATAAGAACAGAATAGGAACCTACTTAGAAGAAGCCAGTGAGATACTCCAACAAACACCCCATAAAATACCCAGCTTTATGTGTCCTGTTCAACGTGGGCTCAGTGGAGCATCAGCCCACTGGGAGAAAGGCATTACACTTGTCCACAGCAACACATAGCAGTAAATTCTCACTAAATTGGGGGAGTTGGAGGGAAGGGAGGAGACAGGGCTGCAAATTACCATTTGTATTACTGCCTAACAGAAACAGAGACCACACCTGGGTGTAGCAGTGCACCAGGAAACAGTGTTTTACAAGGCATATCTCTGCAAAGGCCATGGAAGCATGAGCCCAGACACTTCTGTGACATAATATTAGGAAGAAACGAATCATGGAGTCATGGAAAATGTTAAGTTAAAAGGGACACTTGGAGGTGTCTAGTCCCACCAAGTACGGCTAACTGCAAGGCCATGTCCAACTGAGTTTTGAAAATCTTCAAGGGTGGGAGATTTCCCCCAGCACTCTGGGTCCCTATCCCAGGGAAGCACCACTCCCATTAGGAAGATTTTTTTCTTTATATCTGATCACGATTTTCCTTGTTGCAACTTGTGTCCATTGCCTCGTGCCTTTTCACTGAGAAGAGACCGGATCGATGGTCTCTGTAACCTCCCTTTAAGCACCAGAAGACTGTAATTAGATTCCCCCTCAGCCTTTTCTTCTCAAGGCTTAAAAACTCTATTTACCTCAGCCTTTTCCAGTACGCCATGTGCTTCAGCCCCCTGACTATCTTAGTGACCTTCCGCTGCACTCTCATATATCAGCCTAAGAAACTTATAAAACTTATCTTAAGATAAAATGTGCTCAAATTCTGTCCTCAAACTGCATGTGTCCTAGTCCATGGCCTTCTGTTGACCCCAGCCAAGCTTTGCCAGAGCCTGCAGCAGTTCAAAAGAACATTGCTCCAGGTTATAAAAGATGATTTTAAAGCAGGCAGTAGCTATACGGAAGCTGAAGCAGTAGTCGTGCTATTTGTGCATCATATGGTTCTGTGGGTAGGACACTCTTCTGGGGTTTTCTCTCTGCCTGATGCTAAACAGGGATTTGTAACACAGCACCTTCATCCCAGAGGTACAGGACATTTTGGGCTGTCGAAGCTGTCCCACTTTTCTAAAAAGCTGCTTATTCACAGCCAGTGACACTATTACTTTGTGGTCAAAAAACTGCTCCGTGAGTCAAGAGATGTTGAATCAACATCTTTTTTACTTTGAACCAAGCAGAAATCAGGTCTCCACCACCCCAGCTGGTGCCCTCTCTGATGGGCACAGATGAGAAGGAAGTCTACTCTCTCAACTCAAGGGTGTGTGAACAATATCTACATCCTCTTAGGAGTCCAACCTAGAAACTTTGCTTTGGCTAAAATTTGCAAATGTGAATCATGAATAATCTCAGGTTGACTGAAAATGCCTTTTTTTTCCCCTTGGGGCACCAACTCTTTGCTGGAAAATGTTCAGCCAGCTCTACCTCTGCCCTGCTCAGGAATAACAGCGACACTGTTAGTAGCAAAATGTCCCGAGCAAAGCTTGCAGGGAAATGTCAGGAAAGCAGTGGGGGGTAGAAGCAGATTAGAGTTGCCAGCTGGAGTGCGCTCACAGACAGGGAGATCAGACCTCTCACAGATCAGCAGTCCGTGCCCAACGTTCCAGATGCTGTCTGGGAAAAACTGCCTGGCTACTAAAACTGCCGGAATAAAATGCCCTCTCTTTCCATCCCCAGCCACTCACCCAGGGTGAGTGACTTCATCCACATGCAGCTTCATGTAAGCAGTTAGCAGAGCAGCCTCTGTTCTGAGATGCTGCTCCAGAGAGGAGCCGACAGCAGAAAGAGATTCATTTTACAAGCTTTGTATGCTCAGGGGACACCACAGCAAGGGAAACAGAGGTAGCAGGAAACCTGTTGAGGGGCTGATTGCTCAGTCATAACGTGGGCACCTCACCTACCTTACCAAGCACGAACTGCCTAAACGCCAGGCATCCAGCCCAAGCTCATCGTATCGACCCTCCCTGCGGTCAGTGGTCTGAGCTGGGTACCACCAGGGAAGCAACGCATCCCACCCAAGCGGGGGGCAGGTAAACAGCCATTGAAGGCATCTCCCCCTCTCTCAAGTCTATCTCTCTGCTGACCACAGAGGAGGCCTACAAGGTTTGGTAGAAGAGGTGAAAGCTGAAAGTAGCTTCTTCAATGACTAAAATAGCACAAAATGAATCCCATCCTACAAGGAGATGTTTGTGGGCATTGCACACACAGAAGATGATGCAGGATTTCAGTTTCAATCATAAGGGTCAAGAAAGTCATCTCAGGGAGCTGAGCTGAAACTATTTTTATTTCCTATTTATTTATATGTTCCTCTCAGAAAAATTAACTACAGCTTGGCTACTTTACATTGCATCTAAACCATATTTTAGGATACCTAGAATGTGCTGTGGACATCCTGCATGCTTTTAAGCTCAAACTTCATCACTAACAACGCATGGATTTTAACTGGGCTGTAGAACACCTATAAAAATGAAAAGAAAGTGGGACCAGTGTCTATGAATAAAATGTTGGTAATTTGCTTTGTAGCTGAGCAAATATCATAGCTGACAGGAACTTTAAACCAGGAACTTGAAATTAATTGTGTGCTGCATGCTGTATCAGAAAGGATTGACGTCAGACCATTTGATTTACCTCCACCCAGCCTTCTCCCAGCTGCAGTGTAAAACACGCTCTCCAGGGACGCACACCCCACTAACACCAAAATACACGGGTCCTGGAATTTGTCTTTAAAGACTCGACCACAGTTTTTTATGGTTCTGTTGCATGTCATTAGTCTTTGCTTAAAAACAGGGTCCTCTGACTGTAAAACAAAAAGACTTTGTTGCAAAGAGTAACAGTCAGCTTCAGCTATAGGATGAATTGTCTCAAATTCTCTTAATCTCCTTTATATAAAGGAAAAAGAACTGAATAAAGACCGACTGCCACATTCAGGATTATTTGTGATGTTTGAATGCAATGCAATTAGCGTTTCATTAAGGCAGCTTCTTATCTGCCTGGCTTTGACAGCACAAAGTAACATTAAAATTCTGAGGGAAGCAACTCTGCAGAATTCAACAGTCTCACAATTCCTGTTATTTTGCTCAGACAGCTTTCATCCTGTCTTATTTCTAGTTTTTTTAACTTGGTTTCTAAGACACTGGGCAGCAGGTGAAATCATCATGTGGAATGAGGAACATGCTATCCCAGGAGGTCATTTCCAAAGCATCCATTTAGATAAGTTTCCTAATTAAAAATCACAAATTTTTTGCAGTGAGGATGGTGAAACACTGGCACAGGTTGCCCAGAGAGGTGGTAGATGCCCCATCCCTGGAAACACTCAAGGTTGGATGGGGCTTTGGGCAACCTGGTCTAGTGGAGGGTGTCCCTGCCCATGGCAGGGGGGTTGGAACTGGATGATCTTTAAAGATCCCTTCCAAGCAAAACCAGTCTGTGATTCTATGATTCTATCATCGGAATTTTCAGAAACACAGAGCAGTTTCATGGTAGTTTGATGTGGAAGAACATGAGATTCAGCATTAAGTCAGAGGAAAATATCCAAACTCTATGTGTCTCCCAGCAGTGGTGAGATCAGAAAGTGTTGCTCAGCTTTGGAGACTTTTCAGTATGTCGTTCTGTGTATAGTAAAAATCAATAATATTCATTCTGGCCCAACACATCACTAATCATTTTTTTTTTTCCCTGTAGAGGATTAGGTATCAGAATTTAAAACTTAGTGCCACTTTTAGGGCAGTTTGAATCTTTGGCACCAAGTTTATTACTTCACTGAGATTCTGAATGAAATTTCAATGTATTTTATCTAGACAGAAAAAAAAAATATGACTACTTCCCTGCTTGTAAATTGAATCGTTTGGCTGTGTACAACATCATTGATAATTCATGCATTTTAATTGGTATTTATGCACTTCTATTTCTGGTAAACTAAAAGCAGTATAAATTATGACCAGCAACAGTTTACAAAAAGACCAAAGAGAATTAAAAAGATCATTTATTGTTATTTTAATAGAATGAGAAAACTGAGAATATCCTGTAGACAAATGGAGCAACAAATGGTTAATTACGGGGTTGATGGCTTAATCTAGCTTTTCATTTCACTGTGCTAGTTAGCACTAACTGTGAACCATCTGTCTGAGAGTTTAGCACTACCCCCACAAGTATTTCATTATGCAGTTTTAATATGCACTTTTGACAGAAATGGAAATGGGCTCAGATCAGTTTTCATGTCACACCAGGCTACATGAGTTTTCAAGGCTGGAATACAAATCAGTGAACACAAATCCTTCTTTGCCTCTTCCAGAGCACTCCTGTCCTCACTCTCCACCTGGGAATGTAAACGCTATGTTTACCTTAGCAGGGAAGGTGGGAGAGAAAAACTAATAAATAAAGTTCTCTGCGCACCATTGGAGTTAGAAGATCCTCCGTGCTGTTTCTCTAAGAAAAATAGAAACTATGGGTACGATTTTCAAAAGCTTCTAACATCCTGGTCTCAGATAGTTGCGTGCACAGTCTGCCTGTTGCTTCTGTAGAGCTGTAAGAGGGCCATAAACCCATCGGATGAGCCCTTTTTGCCCATTTCCCTGGGAAAGGCTTGCTTTGGGTGGGACAGTCCATCAGGCTGAGGCGTTGGAACGACTGGACCGAGTTGGCAACAGGAAGGTGGGGAGGTGCTACCTACCACTAGAGGTACTGCTGTCCCTTGCCTTTGAGCAATTGCTAATTCATGACTGCAAGATCTGGAATGTCTCTGGATGAATAAGCTTCATTTGATTTCATTTTATATGAACATGATTTATAAAACTCAGGGGAAGGTATGGGGGAACTGGCAAAGGGAGTTTGACCAAGATGAGTGAATCAAATCAGAGAACAGATTGAGTTATTCCTTAGGCACAGAGAGAAAAATCATGTGTCTGTGGCATCTATTCAGAAGATATATGCTGGAGGTCTAATGCTTTGGAAAGTTGCATAAGAAAAAAGTTGCTGAACAAAAAGTTAGAAGTGGCAATGCTCAAGTAAAAAAGGCACCACGTGACAGAAATTACTTTTAGCCCATGATAATGGAGGTGAACAGCAGTTCATCACTTCACTGGAAACCGGTGGCCGCCTAGGACCAATGTTTAGAAACACGTTATTGATGGGAAAAAGAAGAACAGCTTCAGACTAGTCGAAAAGGATAAAAGACCCAATAAAAAAATCATGCACTTTTTTTTCTGATCATGGGTTAAGCTATTGGGTCTTAACCTATTCTCGTAAAAAAGACAAGATACAGAAATCCAGCAGGATATCTAGTCCAGGAAAAGCATGTTTAATAAACATGGCAGAGATGTGTTTCTCCCTTAATGACATCTGGTGGTGTAGAATCAGCACATCACTCCATCTCTATCTTAGAAATATAATTATAGGGCCCCATAACAAGCAAACTACATTTAACTGCCCAAATATAAGTGATCTTAAAAAGGAGATAGAGAAGATAAAGGCAAGCACTGTGCTTTTGTGCAAGATAGGACACGAGGGAAAAATACAATCAACAGAAGCAATGGGAGCCATTTTGCATGCTCTGTTCAAAATGTGAGAAGAAAACGACACCTCGCTTGTATGAAAAAGAAAAGAAAGATATCTGCCTGTGTGCTAGAGGGAGAAGGGAAGGGGAGACATGGGATGCTTCACCTGAAAGGATGGATTATTTGGAAATGTCCCACCCAGCCCTGGCCCATGGTAGCTGTCTGTCCCACGGGGACAGAGCAGGAGCTGAGGGCACATCCTGGGGACCAGAAAATATTGCCAGCCCCCTAGTAGCAAGCCAAAGCTCTTTTGCAGGGAGGGAGAGTGAGATCTAACAGCAGAGCAGAGACTGTAGTAAAGCTTTACAGCACAGCTTTTGCCCTTGCGCTCTTCTTTTTTGACTCAATTCCAGCAGGAAAACACCATGAGAAACCAAATGCAAAGAGGCAGGACATGAATATAATCAAGTCACTCGCTGCCTTTCTCCTCTTTCTCAAGGGCTGAGAGGCTTCAACACAAGCAGGTTGCAGAGACGCGCGATATGAAATGCATTACCCTTTCCAGGAACCAGTGTGGGCGAGTCCCCTTCCCGTCTGTCCGGATCCTCATCTTCCTGAGGGGTGCGATATCGGCGATCTCCATGATGAAACTGTCCTCTTGGCCTCGCTCAAACCTGGAGGGATTGAAAGACTGAGGAGGTTTCCCGCTGCTTTACAGCATCGTTGCATCTTGATCCCCTGTCCGTGCTGCCATTCACATCTTGCCAACAGCCTCAAATTAAAAGTTGATGCGTGCACTTTATTGAACTTAAGATTTTCTGTCCTGCAATCACTAGCTACTGTGCTTTTGGCAAGACACCTCAGTGCAGATTTGACAGGGATTCCTCAGCCCCTGGAAAATCATGCCCATACGAGGCACCTGGAGTCGTTCCAGGCAGCCTGCAGCATACGTTATCACTCTGGGATAACCAGAAAAATACACACTCACAGTCAGGTTTCTGCACATTGCCTTCCTCCTGGCATCTGCCCATGTGCCTGCCCTTAGCCCATCCCAGCTACAAGGCAAAGCAATTTTGCTTAATCTTCTTTTGCTAAGATGCAGCAAGCAACTTTGCGTTTGCCGTGGTGACAGACAGTTGCTGCAGCTCAGCTAAATATGGCAACTTGATCACAAGTCAGAGCCTAACACCTAAGTTTAGTTAGCGCAGGCAAATTGTATTAGAAAGGAGCACAAACCAACTGTCCTGCACTCCCCTCCTGAATTTGGGGAATTTGGCTTCGCAAACTAGCTCCATCTTCGGTAAGAACCAGCGTGGGTTTGTGTAACATTGCATGAAAGATCTTACCCTATGCTTGGCTGCTGTATATAGGCACAAGGGTGCGTAGGAACTGCTCATCCATAGCAATCAGCAGAAAGCAGGAAGAAGAGAAAAACAGCTAACATATGCTTCTTGAAGAAGATATTACACTGGCTAGGACCGCAGCTACCTTACCTCCCTCATAGCATCAATGATGCTAGGAAGAAAGCCTTGCTCCAATGAAAGTGCTGTCTCAGGCTCAATATTACTCTGTGTGGAGCAAGTGTATTTTCTAGGTTTGCCCCAAAAATCCTCTGGCAGACCTGCTGTGGGCTTGGAGATGGAAATCCAACCCCTGCTAAGTTGAAGAGCAGCCAAATCATGGGGGTCTACCAGGCACCACCAGGACCACTGTGCTGTTGAGGTTCCTTCCTTGTGCGAACTTCTCCTTGTGAGTTACCTGAGCCTGCTGAGAGGTTTGGAGAGAGCTCTGCACACTGTGGGCACGACCATAGCATAGACAATCTATAATGACGACATCTCATTCCTGCCAGTGTACTCAGACTCCTATAGCTGTGCAGTGCCAGGATATAGAGAAAAAAACATTTCTTTACCAACTCCTGCTCCGATTACAGCCTGCAGCATGAATGTGATTATCCTCACACCATTATCTGAGCCCGCATGGCTGCAGATGTTAGCAATAGGGATTGGCTCCAGCCTCTCAGTTTTCATCCAGGCACTGCTTTGCCTGCACTCCCAGAGGCGTTCGGATAGGGTGTTTTGGTCCCAGTCCATTTTTAGTTATTAAGGGTTATGTTTGCTCTTTGAAAAACTCCCCTGTCTTGTTATTTATCTTTCTGTGGTACCAGGTACCAAGATAGCCGGTCTCACTGCGAGAAAGAGATTGTGCTTTTGTGCCTGGACTGGATTGATTTCCACTTCTATTTAAAAAAAAAAAAAAAAAAAAAAAAAGTGTGACCCTTCCAGCTTGAATTATCCCATGATCCTACGATCAGTTTCCATTACAATCACTATTACTTACAAACCTTCACAGAAGTCTGTCATTTTGCTCCTTTCCACGCTGAGCAACTCTAAGCTAAACAGGCAGTCAGCAAAATAAACCATTCTGTATCTTCAGTAAATGCCCTGTTTACAGTTTATAAGGCTGATACCCACCTGCTACTTCCAAGAAGTCATTGTACTAGATAGAAACAATTGCTGAAGTGACAAACTGGGTGACCCAAGAGCTCTTTTCTATCCCTAATTTATATGAACATAAGTCTGAAAAAAATTGAAGAGGGAAGAAGTATCCGGACAAGCTGACTGCCACTATTCCTTTTCTAGTACACTGAACCATTCATCTAAGGGATTTCATTAAGCTTTCCTACCCATGCCTGCACTTATAAATATTTCTATTGCCCAGAGGTCTTGGCAATAACAGTAATGTAGCTAAAATTGCCTTAAATCTGCGGCAGGTTAGACAGACATTTCTTCATAATGCACTAAGCTGCTGTGAGTGACTTGTCACTGGATGGCCCCAATAAAGATGAAGTGCCTTTTACGATTTGGGTGCAGCGGCTCTCACCCATCCCTTGCTGCCGGTCCACAGGCTGGCGAGATTTCCATGTGAAACAAGCCAGGGAAGTCTGTGTTGTTAACAGCTGGATGAAGACTGGTGGGACCGGTGTGGAAACAGGCAGTATGTGTATTTGGGGACATGCATGTCATCTGCAGAGGGTGCTAACAAGATGACAAGAGCTCTGTGCAGTTGGAGGTGTGATGCAGAGTGCCTTCAGCTAGCAGAGATGTGTCAGTACATCCCCAAAGGATAGCAGAGCATCTTGGGGATATGAACATTAATAGCTGTGTTTTACATCTTCTTCTTTATACAGCCCCAATGAGTTTTCATCACCTTTTGCAGATCTTCTACTGAGAGAAGACAGCCCAAGCAACTAACAACATAGAAACTGTATGGCCCTCCTTTATTGTGTTTTCATAGCCTTATAGCAGAGGTTATCCATCCCACCTGCATAGAAAAATGTGATGTTTTTTTATAGATCACATAGTTTAGGGATATCACTTGCCTGGCCATTTGAAGCAAAACTGCAGTCTCTCTCTTGAGGGGTTGGACATGTCTTGGTCCCCTTTAGAGACTTTTGGCTGATGTATCCTGATGTGAATTTTGCTTTACTTTTAAATACAAACACAGTCGTGGTTCATTTTCCCACCTACTAGAATTGAATGTTGGGCTTAAAATAGTGGAAGACAGATCAGTTCGGGATTGCCTGGGGTCTTAGAAGGAGGATGTCACGGATAGCCAGGCACGATGGTAACCCAGATGCATTGTGCTGCATGTTGGATGTCTCTCTGTGATGCGGACCAGGGCCAAGAGCTACGTCTTTCTCTATGACTCAATGGTGTTTCTCATGGAAAGTTTAGTCAGCAACACCTCTGCTGTGTATTTTTTTTCAGAGCAAACAAGGCTTGTACTTGTTACTAACTAAACACATGAAGGTTTCAAGCTTAGCCGAACGCGCTTGCCCAGACACCCACTCTGCTATGACAGCTGCAAGTAAAACATCCCTTGTGCAAACATCTCTATGCAGGGAGCCTTATCTTCAATTATCCAGCCCACACGTGATACGCAAAGCTGCGGCAGAGGAACTGCATCGCCAGGAGGCTGGAGAAAGTGTCCAGCATCACCTCAGCAAGCTGAGCTCAAACCATGGGGCCAAATGTTCCAGCCCTCCTGACGCTCTGTAGATGCTTTGCTGACTAAGATCAGAGGTAGTCAAGTAATTAAATTTAAGTCTGATGAAGCCCATCTCTAAAAGGTGGTTGGTGCCGTGTTCGTTCTTGAGCATGCCAAAGCTTTCTGTACTGAGGGAGGTGCTGGGAAGGAACAGGAAAGCGTTAAGAAATGGATTGGTGGCACGTGGGGTTTTTTCGCTTACGGAAGTGCTGGCGTCAGACTAGGGTTACAGTCTTTGAAAGCTGTTTATGCTGAAGAAAACAGGATATTTCACCTCTTTAGCAAAATCAGAGCATGCAGTGTGGCAGTCCATGCAGCCCACAGCCCATTTCAGTCTCTGCACCGTAAGGCCACATCTGGGCAGACAGATGTCATCACATGTCCCTTTTGTGCCAGCTGCAGACAAGCCAGCTCCGGTTCCAAAACCACGCGGTTACAATAGTGTGGCACAGAGCCCAAGCTAAGAAGCCCACTTCTCAGCAGGGCCCTGGCAGCCCCTACGCAGCTTCTGGACCAAGCTGGCTCACATCTGGACAGCTCAGCGAATGAGAGGAGCAGATGGAGGAGAGTCAGCACCTTCCCATCACAGGCACTTCCCAAGGCAGGTATATGCATGTTGATTTGTCTTTCTTTCATTGTGCAGTTACTAATGCATTCCCATTAAATAATGTTTAAATTAAATTACTTTTTTTTTCCACAAAAGGTGCATTTTGCAGAAATTTCACCTGTGTTTTCATGCGATGTCCACAGTTCCTCTTGGAGCTGATGCAAGACTTCAAAATTCATATTTTTGTTCTCAATGCTCATCTCTAAAGCCATGAGGAACTGGTCAAACAAAATTTCTGCAAATGACACAGGTTGATTCCTCTAGCTACACAGGGCTCTCCTTTCCTCCACTCTGCTAAATACGTTATAATAACACAAGGGGCCCAGTTCTGAATCTATAAAGTCAATGGGCATTTATCTTTATGTTTCAGTGGGAGCATGATCAAAGCCTCAAGTACTTCTTGACTTGACACCAGAATCTGTTATCACTCTGCTTCTAGCTAACAAAAATGACAAAGTTACTGTACCTGTCTCCATTTTTATCCAGCTGCATCTCCTCAGTGTTCCCATTGGATCCAAAGACAGTCATGAAAATATTGGCGTCAGTACCGCCGCTTTCGATGTCTCCAGTCACAACCGTGACTTCATAGAGGATCTGGTGAGGATTTGAAACAATCAGAAGGTCTCATTAGAACAGCTGTCTTTAACCCACACAAAAGCCTGGGCAAATTGCTAGACAGGCTCTGCAGAGATCTACTCCTTTGCCAGAAATGGTTACAACACGGCTTCTTGGGTTCTCTCCACACCGTGGTTCTCAGAGGCAAAGTTAGAGATTGCACCTTGCTACAGGACCTTCCTCTTTGCAGCATCTATTACTTTTTCTACAGATTTTCTCAGCTTAGATAGACTCAGAGAGACACATGTTCATTTTGACAACCACATGCTTGAGGAGCGATGAAGACCTGGTAAACTCCTTCTCCACGGGAGTCACAACCCTCAGGTCAGTGTGTGAGTTTCCAACCCTCTGCTACTGCCACCTCCTCGTGGCCGCCTCCCAGCACTCCAGACCTATATACTACACCAAACTTTTGCCATTTTTAAAAAACAGCTCCCAAAGACACAATTTTTTCTTTCCCTTGAGTGCAAAATGTTTCTTCCATATGTTCAGTGTCTGTCTGGGCAACATTTACTGCAACATCCCTGATAACTTTGAATTCTATACATCTGAATGCTCTCTACAGCAGAAAAAATGCAGCTATCCCATTTCCCAGTGGGACGTACACTGCTGCATTGAATGCAGAGTGTTCCCAGATCTTGCACATTAAAGGTATGCCAATCTGTGAAAAGATGTTTTGCAGCATTTTCACCTTATTAGCCTAGCTTTGTTCTTTTCTCCTGACATGTAAATGATAAGATTCAGAATAAAATATTTCAAAAGCGTGTGAGTCCCAGGGGCTGACAGTGACATTAAGACTTTCAGGCCACTTTCAAGATCATTCCTATGGTAACAAGACCTTTGGATTTAAGAGGTGGAAGAATAAGAAGAAACAGCCTCAACAAAACATATTTCAAATAGTGCACTTCTAGGCAAGTTTTATTGGCCTGAATTGTGATTGCCACATAAATAAGCAGTGCAAAGAAATAATGTCATGGAAAAAATTATTTTCCATATTTGTTCAATCCTAAGTAATCTGCCCATCTCATATTCATCCACACACATTTTACATCATAGCAGAGCATCATATTTGCTCCAGGTGGGAGAAGAAAAACTCTTTTACAGACGCATTGAATGCTTTAATGACTGTGGTGGACATTAACTAGTTTCTCTATGTATGAGAAGGCAAATACTCAATTTAAAACACAAATTGGGAATATCAAGCCAAGAAGAAAATTAAATTCAAATGGGTATGTATGGCTAGGCAAGAGCCAAGCAAAACCAAACCAAACAAAGCATGGACTTTCCCAAAGCCATTAAAGGTATTAGTTTTCTTTGAACTCTAGAAATAAATAAATAAATAGATAGATAGATAGATAGATAGATAGATAGATAGATAGATAGATAAATCAGTTTCTAACTACAGCTATTTACAAGGGAACAGTCCCAAATTCCCTCAACTAGGAGACTGATCAGCAAGTCAAGTGCACACTTCTGATTTCATGTCTCAAGCAACTTCCCTGATTTCCTTCAAACATTTCAAGAAGTTTCTGGCCCAACATCACAGAAAAAAATTTAGTTAGATGTGTCTATTTTTGGCATGCTTATGAAAATAACTATTCAGGATTGGGCTTTTAAAGGAAGACTGAATATAAGCCTTCATTAACATTCACTTCAATCTATAGACAAGCCATCAGCTCACCAACAGGAGTTTGGAAACCTTATCCAGGAGGTTAAACAACTGATGGGAAGTTTTTAAGTGATTAAATTTTAACCTTGGTGTTCAGTCTGAGGGAGGTTTTTCCCCTCTTAGATCAATTCTACCATTGAAACCTGTGTTGAGTTGTTGAATCCTTCAGAGATGCTAAAAATGTTATGTTTTCATGTGTCTGGGGAAGAAGAAAGATTTCAGGAGAATATCTTTAGCTTGGCAATCAAGAGCAACGTAAAGAAAAATTAATGTACCATGAAAGTGCAACCTCACTGTAAACAGGAACACATCTATAGAGATTTTAAACTGCCATACAGGTATTCAACACAGTATTATTTTCCCATTCATCCAGACTATTATTTCTCTTATAAATCTTGCATTCAAAATCAGCATAGCTCACCTTTCCAATTTGTACTTGGTGGAAATATGGCATAGCACACATTACTTCAAATTTCATATGTAAGGATGAAAAGACTATACAGGTTTTTTTATTGCTTATTCAACTTTAATCAGTTATTCATTTCAAAGATCAACCTTACAAATACCTCCATATTTCAACACCTTCCAACTATTTCCCTATCTCATACTAGAAAAGCTGACATGTAGCCGTACTATGCAGAGATTAAAACATCTCCACCACTCTAATTTGATGAGTTAGAAGTATCTCCTCAGACAAAACATGATGGAGTTAGATTGCAGCAAAGTGTTCACCTTGCAGCTGCCCCACTCTACGGGTGCTCCAGGTGTGGTGACAGGGTAAGGACATGATGCTGAACTGTGTCCTGCCTGCTCTGCCCTACCCGGTCCTTCTGCCCGTGCCACGGCTGCATCCAGCCAGCATTATTAAACAGTGCTCTAAGTGATAATGACATTAAACCATTCCTAAAGATTTTGCTAAAGAAATAACAAAGAAATGCTCTGCAAATAAAAGGCCCAAACCACATGTGGAAGACAAAGCACGAGAACTGCTGACACAATCTATATCAGCACAGGTCCATGCAGCAGCTAAAGATGCAGGATGAGCCTAGAGCCTACCTTGAGGCCAACGTTAACACAATCCGCATCCAGGATATTGAGGATTCGTGAGGTGAGACCATCACCTTTGTCTCTGGCCAGCCAGCACTTACAGACAAAGTTATACATGACACCTTTGGTGGGCACAATGATGGTGAGCTCTTCCACCAGCCAGCAGCTCTCAGGGGTAGCGCCATCATGCCCCACCTGTGAGAAAACAGCTGCTGGTTAGAGGGGATTTCTTCAGAGAGACCCTGATTAGATGTTTGAACTAGTGATGAGGGATTAGTAGTGTTGACTACATACATTGTCACACAAACCCCATCCACAGTGGAATGGAGCAAGCTGCAATACTGTTCCCACCATTGCTGCCCAACAGGCAAGGCATCAGTGTACAAGGTAGCTGATGTGGGCAAGGAAGCTCAGGTTATCTGCTGCTGTGCATGAGGGAAGGCAGGACACTGCCCGTCCCAAAAGTAAGCAAGGTAGACTGGACTGACCTACATGAAAACATGTCCAGTCTCTTCCTACTCTACTTCTGCTCCGTTGACCTCTATCTGCCAGTTTTCTGATCTCTACAGACCCATGTCTCTATCTTTCCAACGCCTTCCACTGCTGTTGTAACACTTAGAAGTGGCTATCCAAAGCTTCATAGTCAAGATGAAAGATGCAGCTAGGCGGACAACCACATGCATTATTCAAGTAGTCCTTCCTTCACAAAACCACATCTAAGTCAACTATATGTATCAGGTTGTTTCTCTGCTTCCCATCTCCTTAAACTGCAAAAGCTCCGTGTTTGTACAGGAGCCAACAGATCTACATCTGCAGCTGGTTGATTTTCAAGGACCATGAGATTTTCATGCTCAAGAATGGTCCATCCTGGAGAGCAGGAAGTCATGCAAGACTGGCAGGAAGTATGCATGGATGAACAAGGGGCTCCTGACAAAACTTAAATGGAAAAATGAAGAATACTAGGGGTGGCAATAATACAGAGACACTGCCTATGCATGCAGGGGTGAGGTTAGGAAAGCCAGAGTTCACCTGGAGCTGAGTCTGGCAAGGGCCATGAAGAGCAGCAAGCAATGCTCCTACAGGTATCTCAGCAGCAAAAGGATGCCAATGGTGCAAACTTCTCCAAGAAACTGCATGTGTCCCTCTTAAAGAATGTGGGTAATTCATCCCAGGGCACACTTATAACCATAATTATGTATCCCAGCTGATGTTCGAAACTCAGCCAGCCAGTCATGCCAATGAGCTATCTGTACATAAACCGTTGAATAAAAGAGCTACCTGCAGTTCATTATTTTCAGAGCAAGTGCTGTTTATATTGTCACTAGGAAAATGAGGTCCTTAGCTCTCACTGTTTTTGTTTTTAAATTATTAGGATATTTAGGGTTGCTCAGAAAATAATTTTTAATAACAGGTTCATCTAGGGTGATATATCTGTGGTATCTTCTTTTTCCCCAAAAACCAAGTCATCTTTTTTATCTGACTGTCTCAGCCATCACTGCTATTAGGAGTATTATTACTATAATAATGTCTGTGCAGCTGCAGAAAATTAGAGTTAACCACTAGGGAAATTCAAGTCTACAATGGATTCATTAATTCTCAGATTCCTGGGGTGTGAGGTGAATGGGAATATAACACTCGCCTTCTCATTCGCTCCCTGTTGGCTTGGCTGCCCTTCTCCAAACCCAAAGGCCCTCTGAGAGTCTGCACACAGCCTCGCGAGACCTGTTGCAGGATGGCACAGATGAGGCAGTGGGGAAAGCTCAGGACAATGGCTTTGCAATGAAGCAGGGACGGAGCAGTTGGAGAGAAAATCCCAGTGAGCCCACTGAGGTCTGCTGCTTTTTTGGGTTCATTACAGCCACTTCCTAAAGCGTCCATCCAAGACATTGCTAGGTACCAGATTTTCACAGCAACCTTTAACTCCTTTGGTGTCAGTGACTGGCCAGAAGAAAGCATCTTGCACATCTGGTTGCCTTGGAGAACCTGCACACAAGCAGATTTCCAAGGGCTCTTACACTGTTGTAAAGTCTGGGATAAACTCATCCAGTGCTGAGTCTTCCTTATGGCTGGACTTTTAGAGCAGAGCACTGGGACTTGTCTTTCAATTCCAAGCAAATCTTTAGATAGACCATGTCAATACAGTGAAGGATCCAAAGCCATGGCCACACCAGCAGTGTAGCCTCGATGTGCATACCAATATCACAAGAAGTTGTTTGGGCTGAGATGTTTGAACTAAGGTGCACAAGTCCATGGGACCTGATGAGTTGCATCCGTGGGTCTTGAGGGAACGGGTGGATGAAGTGGCCAGGCCACTCGCCATCATATTTGAGAAGTCCT